GGCCTCCTCAGTTTGTTAGGAGCGTTCCACAGCATGGTTAGCATAGTTGATATCTGGGAAATGAGATCTTTCAGCTATAAGGGAGCATTGCCATCTATACATTGATGGGTAAACAGAGGCACATTATATTCAGTCCAGAGTGATACAGGGAGCTGTCCAAGGGACCGAAGGATTGCAGTGATGTGGTCGGGTTTCCATTGTCTCATTAGGATGAAGGCTGCACTGTTTCATAAGTACTGAAGCTTTTGGATGTGCTTGGATGGTGTTCCATAGACAAGAGTGTTGCATTTCCTTATATATGAAGAATAACACGTCTGACTTGATTGACCTGCTCTCTTCTCGTCCCATTTTTGATGAGTGAATAGGAGAAATTTGTGTCTTTCAAACCTTTATTTAAAGACTTGCAAAACTCCCCAGTTTCTAATTAAAAGCTGCATCACATCCTATATCAGTTAAAAAAGTTACATTCCTGCAGTTGCATTTAATCTATAAGCATTATATAAGCATTAACATAAATAGACTGAGTGATTTTTATCTATAGTGTGACCAACATAGAAAGACTGTAAATTAAAACTAAATAGAAATATAGTAAATAATATAATGTATTGACATTCTTTCCATTTAGAAATGATCTCAAACTAAAAGGACGGATTTTGTAAAAATAATGTCTTAGATTATACACTTGTAAAGAAAAAGTGTATTCTGTGGGTGTTCTTATGTAGCCTTACTAGGAGCCAGTTAATACTGAAAATGCTTAAAACGATCTAGCTGCTGATTGATGGTAAAGCTAAAAAGTATGGATGTACTCCTGTGTAAATCTCCCTTTTGCAACCCCTGCCACGTATAACTGGGACAGAAACCCAGCCTCAGCATAATTCTGCCACAACCGTGCTTAAGAAGTAGCACAAATTTGTGACGGTTGAAAGCTCCACCTTGTTTCCTTCTTCCCATTTCTGCCATAGTTCTCAATTTATATCTCATTATAAAACCACAGTTTCCACCGTAGTTTCCTCCAAACATAAGTTTGGATGTGGGAGCTAAAACAATGAAGCATTTAAAAAGAAACCTAAATAAATAACCAGACAGGATTATAAAGCTTAGTGGAAACAACAATAAAGTTAATATCAACTTTTTAAGGACTGAATGTTGGCTGAGGTGTGTTTATATAAAGGTGACTGTTTGTATTATTTTGATTTCTTTTTGTATGAAACTGACTTGATAACAGCATAGATGAGTTGATCCAATGACTCCGCAACAGATACATCCTTAATATGTAAGAGTTTGTGACTCAGTCTTTCACATATTATAAACGTTCTCTATGAGGGCTCTTGTTGCCACTCTAGATCATCAAATCTGACTTCTAACCAGTCTCCCTTTAACCACAGCTGTCCACACTAAATTTGACAAATTACATTTCAGTGGGCTCTCGATTCACACAACCATGCTAATCTTAGATGCATCAGTGACTAATGAGAAATGTGGTTTTATTTTGACACTTTTAGAGCTGTGAGAATAAATTAACTCTAATAATCATGCAGGGAGGACGCTTGCAAAAACCACTTAGACACGCTTCTTTTGAGTTTGATTTGTAAAGACTGATTTAGAAGCAGGAGTGAAAATGCTTTTCAACAGGTTTCAGCTTTACTTACATACAGGCAAATATTCAGGATGTCATTCTCTATTTAGTCTAATGTATTTAGTATTTAAGTCATAACTTAAACATTGATTATAAAGTTCAGGTAAAGCAATATTGTGGCATCTGTTGCTGCTTCAGTTGTGCAGTTTGAAGAGATTGGCTACAGAAACATTTAAAATATAACTTCTGTGCTTAACACCAAGTTATCCAAACGGCACCATTATAGAAACCACTTCATGCTACAGTGGTATCTGTTTTCTCTCTGTGCCAAAAATAAACACTGCAGGGTGGGGGGATTGTTATGTAGAGTTGTCACATGAATATAGACACGTGTTCAGGAACAGGCAATGAGTGGCAGGCTGTCAGCAGGGATTGCTACAGGTTTGGTTTTTCTGCGGTTTCTTGTTTAAGGGATCAGATGGAGGATCAATGAGGTTTACGCGGTAATTCCTGCAGATGTGTGCTCTACATTTCTAGCTATGTCCAATTACAGAGCAGATCTATGCAATCAAAGGTTGAAGACAGTTGGGCAGGAGCTGAGACCCAGAAGCAGGATACTTCCTAGCGCCAGTTTGCTTAGCATAGGGACCTCCTGATGTCTCTAGCCACCACAAGGAGCTATGTTGGCCAACAATTATTTTGTTTTACAGACTGTATAGGAACAGCCCACCTAATGGAGTTGAACAAATAAAACACTATTTAAAGGAATAGTACACCCAAAACATGATTAGCCTTCATTTTCTACTCACCCCCATGCTGAACAACACTCTGGAGTACTTTTTTGATATCTCAAATGCATCTGGAGATCTGGGAGGCTTCTTGCTGTCTGCTGACATTCAAATAATGGAGGTCCATGGTGCCCGAGACAGAAAGGTCCATAAAAGTCCACAAAAAACGTGTCAATATTCCTCCATACTGCTCGTCCAATGTATTCCAAGTGTCCTGAGTGGGTAGCATCCAGAATTTACTCGAAACGAAGTCGTTTAGAATGTTTTTAGAGCATAAACAGTAGTGTATAGGATTTCCTAAAAGCGCGTTCACGACGCTATGGAAACCGCGGCAGACCAAACCAGACGAAAGTGCACATTCAGCTCGGCAAAGAACTCATGCTCTTCCTCAACACTGAAGTCCTCAGACATTTTTCTTTCGTTGTTTCTTTCTTTGCACAGGTAAACAGCACATTTCTTCTTCTACGCTTGCATTATCGGCAGAGCAGACGCTGAATGCGCACTTTCATCTGGTTTGGTCTGCCGGCTTCCGTAGCGTCGTGAACGCGCAGGCGCGCGTTTTCAGGAAATCCTATACACTACTGTTTATGCTCTAAAAACATTCTAAATGACTTCGTTTCGAGTAAATTCTGGATGCTACCCACTCAGGACACTTGGAATACATTGGACGAGCAGTATGGAGGAATATTGACACGTTTTTTGTGGACTTTTATGGACCTTTCTGTCTCGGGCACCATAGACCTCCATTATTTGAATGTCAGCAGACAGCAAGAAGCCTCCCAGATCTCCAGATGCATTTGAGATATCAAAAAAGTACTCCAGAGTATTGTTCAGCATGGGGGTGGGTAGAAAATGAAGGCTAATCATGTTTTGGGTGTACTATTCCTTTAATGACATGTGATGTGGTGATGTGAAGTGGAGGAAATGGGAATGAGCTCCTTCAAGTCTGAGGCCACGTTCTTGACTGGAAAAAGGTGACCTCTCCCCTTTAGCTTGGAGGAGATTTCCTGCTTCAGGTGGAGAAGTTTAACTATCCAGGGTTCCTGTTTACGGCTGAAGGGGAAAAATTGAGTGGGAGCTCAATGGGTGGATCCATAAAGGCAGCTATACGATTGGATATAATGCAGACGGATATAATGGTCTGTTGAGGTGAAGAGGGCTGAGCAAAAACGTAAAGCTCTTGTTTTACATTCCTAACTTCATCTATGGTCATTAAATCTGGATCATGACCAAAAGAACAAGATTCCGGATACAAGTGGCTGAAATTAGCTTTCTCTGTGGGTGGCTGGGCTCTCAATAGAGATAGGGTGAGGAGTTTTTTTCGTTCAGGAGAGGCTCGCAGAAGAGTCATCCCTCCTCCGCATCGAGAGGGGTCACCTGGTCAGGGCGACAGTGGCGCCGGATGTAGGAGTTTGCCCTGAAATTGAAGGATTGATGGTTCAAGCCCCGGCTCTGACTTTCAGTGACGTTGTCTCCTTGGGCAAGACACTTCTCCTGCATTGTCTACTGATGGTGGTCACAGGGCCCGGTGGCGTCAGTGTACGGCAACCCCGCTTCTGTCAGTGAGCCCCAGGGCAGCTGTGGCTACCATGTAGCTTGCTGCCGTGAGTGTGTGCATGCATGAATGGGTGAATGAATGTAGTGTAAACCGCTTTGGTCAAGTCTCCTGACTTGAAAAAAGGCGCTATATAAGTACAGGCCATTTACCATTTACCTGAGGTGGCTCGGACATCTTTTTCGGATGCTCCTGGATCTCTCGCTTGCGAGGTGTTCCTGGCATGTCACACCGGGAGGAGGCCAAGGGGACGATCAAGGACACATTGGAGGGACTATGTCTCTCGGCAGGCCTGGGAGCGCCTCAAGCTTCCCCCAGCAGAGCTGGAGGAGATATCTGTGAAGAGGGAAGTCTGGGAGCTTCTGCTGAGACTGCTGTCCCTGTGACCCGGTCCCAAACCAAGCACAAGACGACGAGTACAAGCACGAGTAAGTGGTACAACACATAATGTTAATGTTCTTACCTTCAAATGTTTTATGTTTTATGATGGAGAACTTTAGCTGGTCACTACATCTGAGTCCTTTTCAGGAAGGAGGTCGTTCCTTATTGATCAGTGTCATTCTTCTGTCTGTCCGCCCCCATAATGATTTCCATAATGCTCAACTTTTCCAACTCTTCATACCGATTTGACTAATTTTACTAACTTTACAAACCAAACTATAAGACTATTAGCTATTGTTTGTTGTTATTTAAAGTATGAATATTCCTTAATTGTTTTCTTCTGTCCTTTCCATTTTTAGACATAATCCCTGAGCCGGGTTGTGACACTGTCCAGTCAAAATAAACATTTACTGCTTCAACCCCCTGATGGCCCCCCCACCGTTTTCTCACTGTGTTGTGTATTAGGAGGTGCTTATGCGATCCTGCTCTGTGTATTCCTTCAGTAATGCTGATCTATTATCGGTTCTGCCCTACAATGCTGTTTGGGTCATAGCTGTGATCCCTCAGACTGTCAGACCATTACAAAATGTGAATAATCTGACACTGGGTTCCAGGACAGGAAACTGGAAACCTCAAATGATTCAGCAACCAAATTGATCTCGACATGGCTGAGTGACTGATGGCATTCCCAGGAGCGTGGTTCATCCCTTGGCTGGCCGCTCTCTGCCAGGCTGCGTGTGGGACAGCAGAGGTGATAATCAGCAGTGGCTGCAGGGACTTTCTTGTCCCTGTTGTTGTGCCTCGTGGAGCAGGGACTCCCATTTGGTCTCTGATAACTCAGCCCCCCTCTGCCATTGCTTGAGCCCACCTCCCTGTAATCCCCTTTTCTCTCAGTCAACCATTAGTTTCCTCCTGAACAGGAACTGCTCTCAATCCCCCGGCTTCTTGAGAACACATTGAGTGAAGAAAGTCTGGAGCATTCCCTGCAGGGACAGTAGGTCAAAGAGGCAAATCTGAAGGTGACTCTGCAGCTTTTGCAGCTGTCGATCAGGAGTTACTGAGGTCTCTGTGTCCGTCTCTTGCTGGCTACTGGTGTTGTTACTGTCTGTCCGTCCAGAGCGGAGAAAGCTGAACACAGAGGGCCAGAAAAAGTGGCCTTAACAGAGTTTGTTGTGTTTGGGTCACAGCTGGTTTTCTGCAGCCGGTTATAGGTGTAAAGGCTTCTGGTGGTGATTCCAAGTCCACCGTGTCATGCAAGCTTGGGATTGGACAAGAGCTACTGAGAGTGTAAAAACAAGCCAAACAAAAATGCTGGGAAAAGGACAGTGTAGCGGATACGTCCCTGAGATGAACGAAGCACTGCAGAGGTAAGAGAAAATACTTTAAAGACAAAAATCTGAAAGTGTCAGAATGTGTTTATGAAAAAGGAATGTAACCTTCATTTATTTAAATTTGTGTCATGTAGTCAAAAGTTGACAAGGAATTTAACAGGGAGATAAATTTGTGGCATTTTAAGGTAAATAAACTTCAATATTTCTTTTTAAGTAAAAATAAAGAAAATGTAAATAAAAATTAATTGAAAAAATATATGAAAATAATTAAAATTATTCACTCAAAATAGTCTTAAAAAAAAAAAAAGAAAACCATTTATTCTTTTTTTTTATTTTCTCGGGATTTAAATTGATTAAATGTAATACTAGCCTACCTTGATTTGACGAAATTATTTATGAAATCACTGTAAAATGTTTCTGAACCCAAAATATTGTGTTGTTTTAATACCTGTTATGCCTATATTTAACAAACATGCATAGAATCTTTCATTTATTTGTTTTTTACTTAGATTTTTGTCAGATTAATTCTGGAAGGAGCTGCACTTTAATCCAACATCAAAAAAGCAGTGAATACTGAAACTACAAGCATCAAGTCAGCATAATTTATTAGGATCTAGTCTCTATTGGCCTCGTTGCTAAAAAAAAGTGTGGTTTTCAGATATTTTTTTTCTCAATTTTTCTGTTTATTTGTGTAAATGGAAGATTTAAATTTATATCCAGCAAACCCCAACATGGGATCATTTCCTTCATCTTAATTTTGATCTACAGCAATTTAACGATGTACAGCTTCCTGATATTTGATGATTAAATGCCTTTTACTTTTCCTAAAAACAGCCATAACATTACATTTCTTTAGTTTGGAAAACTTTATAATCCTACTAGACCTTTATTTCTACTTTCCTCCAACTCCGTTATTTTTTATTATTCTGCACTCCATTCCACCGACAGAGTAATTCAATAATTACAATTAGTTTTTAGGTGATGTGTTTTTGTGTTTACCCTTCAATTATACACAATTCTAAGCTTTAAAATCTACAGAGTGACTTTCCTAAATGTCTGACTTTAAATGTAACAAATAAACCTTCTATTATCATTAAACTATTTAACAAACTGTTATTAGCAAAACTGTATTAAAATTTTAAAGCCAAAGCAGATAATTATATATATATATAATTATATATATATATATAAAAACTTGAACACATCATTTCAATATAAATTTTAATACTTAAAAGTTTTACAATTATTGTTATAGAATAGGGAAATAAAAAATTGGAAAAAAAGTCTATTTTTCTGATGAAGCTTTACTTACTAAACCTTTCAGTAATTAGAATTACAGTCAGAAGCTTCTCTTTCATTATAAACTAAATTTACTGTGTAAATCTTTCTGGACGCAGATTAGTACAGTTTGTTCATTCAAGTATTAACAAAGTTTGTCAGTTTAATTTTTCTTACTAGAGAGGAAGAAGATGCTTGCATATCTCTAATTGACCATTTACATTAATGTATTAATTTTCTCTCAGAAGTAAGAGCTGGGATGCTTCTGCAAGGTCTGTACTTTTGTTTTCAGTTTGGTGCTGATATGTCCGTTTTTTCTGGTTTAAGGATTAGGGAAGCATGGTAAACATGTTTGGTCACATATTTCTCCCATTAGTGTTCATATCTCTGCTTGTTTTTCTTGTTCCGTTTGCTCATCTTACCGCTCTGCCAGCTGTATATCACTGAAACACGGTGGGCTTGAATTATACCTGCACAAACTCTGCAGGTCCTGATCAGCTCACTGACATGTGACAGTGCCACAGATCATCTTATGCACATTTATTAGTGTCACTTACTTAATTTTAAACTTTGTTTTTGTTAATGTTGCATATTTTTTTAATCATGTTATAATTTTCAAGACAAAGCTGCTTATTATGTAATTTATGACTGGATTTTTTTTGCCTGAGGCCACTCAGTTTGGAAGAAGTCGCTAAACTAAAGGCAGAATTAAAAAAGAGATCATAGTTTCCAAACACGTTCATACATTTTCATTTTGGGAGACATGTCCTGTGCTCGGATGGATGTTTAATAATTATGACTTAAATCTGAAGGGAAAAGGATGAAGCTTGAAATCTAGGAAGTTTGGTGTAGCGTCATGGTGAGTGAGAGCAGCAGGAGCGACTAGTTCACTTTGCAAAATAGAATTTAATATGCAAATATTAAAGCAGCCTGCTGATAGCTAGAAATTTAAAGCTGCAGAAAACTTCGGCAAGAGACCCAAAGCACACAATCACAATGGTTCAAGGAAAGAAAAAGTCAATGTTTTAGAACAGGCATCACAAACCTCTGTCCTACTGAAAGCTTGTTGAACAGGATAAGTTTATTTTGATTTCATTTTAAATATGGAGCAGTTACTAAATTGCTTGTGTCATGTAGAATTGCTTCATGCTGCATTCATCTGCTCAGATGTCTTTCTATTCTAATACGCTTTATTTCTAACACTCCAAATATGTTTACATGTGCATCACTCTCCTTTCTATGTCATCATATTAATCCCTACTATATTGCAAAAATGACCACGGAGATTTTTTGTATGCACTTTGCATCTGACTTTTACAGGTACTAAATTTAAGTGCAAATACTGAGAGTTTCAGAAAAAAGAGAGTTTCAAATAAAAAATCTCAAAATTCTTTAATTGTGGTCAATATGCAGCTACATTAGAGGATTTTCCACCCATACATTTGTTCAGTTTGGTCAATAGAATATTTTTTTGCAAATTGATGAATCTGTGCATTGTCAGCTCAAATGAAAGTGCACTGCATGAGCAAAGAAGCTTGTGTGTTATTTAATGGTACCTTTTGAAGTTCAGTCCCTTAGTATAAATATCTGCCATATAAGAATCTTAAGTCTTCTCAGAACTCTTCAAAGAAAATAGGAAGCCCTATAGGCAGAATCTGAACCAGAATTTGAACTATAGGATCCATATTCAGTTACCGCAACCCTGCTTGCTTCACTATGTTTGTTTGCACCTTATGAAGGGCAAATAGTTTTATTTCTTTCTGTTGATTCAGCAATGATTTCTTGACAGATTATCTTTTGTCTAACATCCCACACTGGAAAAAAAACAACAAATCTAGATAAGTCGTTTTTTCTTAAAATAAGTGCATTTGTTCTTGGATTGAGGAGATAAAAGAGACATTTTGCCAATGGAACAAGACAATTTAGATTAAAAATAAGAAAAACACAATTGCGTTTTCTTATTTCAAGTGCATATTATCTAATTATCTTATTTTAAGACTAAAAACACTCATTCCATTGGCAAACTATCGCATTTACCTACTCAAATTAAGGGTAAAAACACTTAATATAAGACATTTTTACTTCTTTCTAGATTTTTGCAGTGCAAAGATTTAGTTTGTGAGATAATTCAAATACAGCTCACTGCTTCACTTGGGATCCTTAGCAGCAGGTTGTTGTACTTAAGACATGGGCTTGACCTTCTTACAGCAAACAAACTACAGGAACCCGGATGAAGGAAAAAGTCAGAACAGGAGTGATTACAGAGAAAGTAATGAAGGAATGACAAGCAAACCAGAAGAGCTAAGAAGACAAAAAAGGAGCAGCTGAGGAAGGATGAAGCAGGGCAGCTGAAAGTACTAATTAACCCCTAAACAGTAACAGAAACAAAAGTCACCCTAGGAAGTATCTAACAGAAATCAAATAAGAAATACAAAATGTATAAAACAAATAAGCTAAACACAAAATGATGCACTAATATGGAAAGCACCTCTTAAATACGTAATAAAAAGAGTGAAGTGATTAAATTATTGATGCCTTCATGTGGTATCACATGAGTACTTTCGTAATTTCCACTGGAAAGCTAGGAAGATTCTGTGAAAATCGACTTGTCGAGATTAGGTAAACTTTGACCTTTCAACATGGCGGAGAGCAGAGAAACTATTCTGTATGCTAAATACTAAACCATTAAATGACCTCTCCCATTGTCTTGTCAACACTCTGAAAATTACAGCTTTTTACCTTTCACTTTTCAACCAAAAGTAGACGGCGTTTGGACATAAATCACATAATCTTTTCTATGTCTTTTCAATCAGTTTTTGCTTGGTGGGATGCAAAGTCACATATAAAAAACAGTTATGTCATGCTTATTTATGCAATGTCTTAAAAACTAAACCAATGTAAGTAGGTCAGCTCTTTTTAGAGAGTCAGACTAAATACACAATAGAACATTTATCTATTCAACTTTAATTGGCCTATTCCTGAAGCTCACCTACAGCAATCAGTTAGGGGGAAAAGCAGGTCATACTATTGACAGGTTGCCTGATTTGAAAAAAAAAAAAAGATTGTTTGTTCATTATCTTTTTGTCATCTGCAAAATTACTTATAGGCTTTTAGACTTATCTGGGGAATTATGTTACATCACCTTTTGTTTTCATTGTCAAAAGATCTGCTCAATCAGTTTCCTCCTTATCAAAAACTATTCACAATTATGGCCAGCTTTCCTATGGCTTAATGTGTTTTAGCATTAGCAAAGCTACGTTTCCTGTATTATAGGCTTATTTTTATTACACCAACAATTTTCCAGCAATAACTTATAGGAAAAAATGCACATTATCAGCTCGCATGTGATTGTTTAATTATAATTACAGAATTAAATTACATAATATAATAGAATAGAAATACGCATTACTGTCCAGCCGAAAGGGAAATGTAGGTGTATCAAGAGTATAGCGGAATAATGCAGATTTAAACAATGGTAAAAAAAAATAATAATAATAAAAATTAAAAAATGATAAGCATATAAGGCCAAATTTACAATAGAATAAGAACATACTACACAATTCTCGAAAATAGCATACTCAGAACAAAGAAACTTCCATTTAAATTAAGCCTTCTTGCAAGTTAAATTCTCGTGGTTTTGTCTCTAGAACTATGGAAATACATTTTCAAATTCCAACATTTAATAATGTAATAATAAATAAAGTTTACAATTCCTCTATAATAGTTCAATGTAAAATGAGTAATTTTCTTTAATAGTT